ACAGTCCAGCGATAACACCACTAGGCCATTGCACATACAACATGCTGGTTTCAACTCACCAGAATTAATGACAGTTATTGGCTAACTCATTGCTCTGGGCAATGACCCACCAATCAGAGTCAACCTGCTGAATCAAGCCTGGCAGTTAACTGTATTAGAAGATGCATTCTCCATGGAAACACCTCTACCAAACAGTATCTACTTGCCAATCAATCGGCATTCTCCTCTCATGCAATATAAATGTTGGTTTTCCCCATGAATTGATCCTCTTGCAAAATGTCCCAATGAGTACAAGACAAAATGCTTTGACAGAATGTGCCCAGTTTCAGCAATACTTCCATTAATTCCATTAGTGAAAAGATTTCTTCAAAAACTTCTGTGCATTTGCATACCATATCAAGAAAAGCTCTTCAGAAACATGTTTATGATTTCCTAAGATTCATAGTAGAAACCCTTCTTGAATGGTGATAGATTGGGAAAGGGAGTGGTGTAATGAGACCTGGATGTCCTCATACACCAGTCACTGAAAGTAAGCATTCAGGTGTAGCAAATGGTGAAAAAGGCAAGTGGTACAGTGGCTTTCATAGTGAGGGGACTAGAGTACAGGAGCAGGGATGTCTTGCTGCAATTATACAGGCCATTGGTGAGACTGCACCTGAAGTATTATGTGCACTTTTGGTCTCATTAGGATGGATGTTTGGCTATGGAGGGAGTGCAACAAAGTTTTACGAGACTGATTCCTGAGATGGCAGGACTGATGTTATGATGACAAACTGGATATAAGACTACATCCACTGGAGTTTAGAAGAAAGAGGAGTAATCTCATAGAAACCTAAAAGTTTCTAGCAGTTCTAGACAGAGTAAACACAGGAAGGATGTTCCTGATGATCGGGAAGTCCAGAACTAGAGGTCATAATCTAAGGATACACGGTAGGCCATTTAGGAGTCAACAGTCACACAGCATGGAAGCAGACCCTTCAGTCCAACTTGGCCATACCAACCAAATTCCCTAAACTGAACTAGTCCCACTTTCCTGCATTTGGCCCACATCCCTCTAAATCGTTCCAATCCATGTACCTGGCCAAATGTCTTTTAAATGCTGTAATTGTACTCGTCTATACCACACCCTCTGTGTGCAAAAGTTGTCCCTCATGTCCCTTTTAAACCTTTTCCCTCTGTCCTTAAACCTAAGCCCTCTAATTTTGGGGAAAGAACTTTCGCTATTCACCTTATCGATGCCCCTCATGATTTTATAAACCTCTATAATGTCACCCCTCAGCATCCTACTCCAGGGGGAAAAGTCCTAGCCTATCCAGCCTCTCCTTTTGACACAAACCCTCCAGTCTCAGTAACATCCTTGTAAATCTTTTCTACACCCTTTCCAGTTTAATAACATCTTTCCAATAGCAGCGTGACCAGAACTGTACACAGTACTCCAAATATGGCCTCAATGTCTTGTACAGCCCTAACATGACATTCTGCCTCCAAAACTCAATGCTCTGACCAATGAAGGCAGGTGTGCTAATTGCCTTCTTCACCATTCTATCACCCTGTGATGCCAGTTTCAAGGAACTATGTACCTTCCCAGGGATCTACCATTAGCTTTATAAGTCCTGCCCTGGTTTGTCTTACCAAAATGCAATGCCTTGCATTTATCTAAATTAAACTCCACTCCTCGACCAACTGGCACAGTTGATCAAGATCCGTTTGTACTCTTTGATAACCTTCTTCATTGTCCACTATACCGCCAATTTTGATGTCATCTACAAACTTACCAATCACACCTCCTACATTCTCATCCAAAACAATAACAGACCCAGCACCAATCCTTGCAGCACACCACTGGTCATGGGCCTCCAGGCTGAACATCAACCCGCTATCACTATCCTCTGTCTCCTACCATTAAGCAATTTTGCATCCAATTGGCTAGCTCTCCCTGGATCCCATGTGATCTAACCTCACTAACCAGTCGACCTTGTGGATCCTTGTTGAGCACTTTGCTGAAGTCCATGTAGATAACACATACTACTCTGCATTCAAACTTTTTTGCCACCCCTTCAAAACAATTCAAACAAGTTCGAGAGACATGATTTCCCATGCACAAAGCTATGCTGATTATCCCTAATCTGTCCTGCCTTTCCAAATGCCTATAGATCCTATCACTCATACCCCCTCCGACAATGTACCCACCACTGAAGTCAGATTCACTGGTCTGTAGTTCCCTGGCTTTTTCTTGCAGCCTTTCTTAAGTAATGGCACATGAGCCACCCTCCAAGTCTTCCGGGACCTCATCCATGGCTATCAATATACAAGTACCTCTGCTAGGGACCTTGCAACTTCTTCCAGAGCTTCACACAATGTCCTGGGATACACTTGATAAGGTCCTGGGGAGTTAGCTACCTTAGTGCATTTTAAGATCTCAGCAATTCCTCTTCTGTAATGTGGACTCTTTTCAAGACATCACTATTTATTTGCCGGGAGTTATTTCTTCACACACGCACCGTGGTGACCTGTGGAGCTCCCTGCCATAGAGAGCAGTTGCGGCCAAAACATCAAATGTTTGAAACAGAAGATAGATACTATTCTTAGGACCAAAGGGGTCAGAGGGTTTTGGGAGGAATTGGGAACAGAGCACGGAGTTGGATGCTCAGCCATAATCAAATCGGGTTATTTGAAACCACAAGCTTTCGGAGCATAGCCCCTTCATCAGGTGAAGTGAGAAAGAAGCACGAGGAACACAGAATTTATAAGTATTAAACAAATCTAAAATGCTGTTAAATCTTTAATCAATTAGAAGGTTTTGATGGATTTATATGTATATATAAATCCCTGAATTTCTTTCAAGTCACTGCCCTGAGCAAACTAAAGGTTTTATCAGTATAAAGAGGAGATAACATTTTAGGTCAGACAATGCATGTTAGAAGTGAGGCCTTGTTTGGAATCTGTTTGTGTTTTGGTTTGGAGTTGGACTGGTTTTATTTCTTAAAGTAGGAACTTATAAAACGCCACATTGACTGACTGTTGAGAAATTGTGTACTTTTTGAACAAAATAGAATGTGTCTGCAAATACAAATTCATCCCATAGATTCACGTGTGTGTGCGTGAGAGAGAGAGAGAGAGAGAGAGAGAGAGAGAGAGAGAGACAGACAGAGTGTGAGTGTGAGAATGGCAGATTGAGTTTAATTTAGATAAATGCGAGGCATTGCATTTTGGAAAGACAAACCAGGGCAGGACTTGTAGAGCTAATGGTAGATCCTTGGGAAGGTACATAGTTCCTAGAATGCACACACTCCCTCCCCCCCACCTCACGCACTCTCCCCCCGCCCCGCCTCGTTCACGTGCGTGCGCACACGCGCACACACACACACACACACACACACACACACACACATACATATATATATAAATCTATGGAGTGAAGTTGTATGTGCAGATACATTCTTTTTGTTCAAAAAGTACACAATTTATAGACAATGTGGCCTTTTATCAATTCCTACTTTAGAAATAAAACCAGTCTGACTCCAAACCAAAACACAAATAGACTCTCAACAAGGCCTCACACCTAACATTCATTGTCTAAAATGTCATCTCTTCTTTACACTGATAAAACCTTATTTCTTTCAAGTAACTGCTCTGAGAGAACTTTGGGGATTTACACATACATGTTAATTAATTAAACCCTTCTGACTGATTAAAGATTTAACAGCATCTTATTTTCGTTTAATACCTCAATGGTGTGACCCTTTGATCTTTTACTTATAAACTCTGTGTTCTGTGTGCTTCTTTCTCACTTCCCCTGATGAAGGGGCTATGCTCAGAAAGCTTGTGGTTTCAAATTAACCCGTTGGACTATAACCTGGTGTGCAATTTCTGACCTTGTCCACCTCAGCCCAACAGCACCTCTACATCATGATAATCATATCAAATGGTGGAGCAGGCTTGAAGCACTAAATGGCCTACTCCTGATCTCATTTGCTATGTTTCTATGTTTTCTATATTGCTAAACTGTTCACCCAAAACCTCAATTGCATTTGTCACATCTGTTAATTCTGCATTCACATCTGGACACAATGAGCTTCAGTCAACACTTAAGTTATGACTTCTCACTAATTTGAAAATCACTTCTGTTCCAACACAAATCTAGATTATGTTGTTGTGGATAAAACACATTTAATTCACAAAAATGTTTTAATACAAGTCTCATAATTTAAAATTTGCAGACAAATTACCATCTAGGGTCACGTTTCCTGATAATCTATAACAAAAAAAATTAGCTACTGAAGATTGCAAACGTACAGCACATTGAGGGATTTAAAAGCTTACTGCAGTTACATAATGCCTACACTGTAAAGATGATTAAATAGATTTAACGTACAACTAGAAAGCTGTTGTTTCATAGACTTTTGTTAAATAATCACTCATAGCAAAGTACTGGATTTTGGCCAATTGAAAAGAAAATTGCACTTCATATTACTCAAGTGTATCCAGTATTTATACAGAAACCCTGCTATTTGACCAAGGTTAGAACACTATCATGAGTGATTGTTAGGGACTAGTTAGAGATAAAATGTGAAAGGAAAATTATTTAATATCTGTGTGTGTTTGTGTGTATGTGTTTTTATATATATATGTATATATATATATATATATATATATTCCTTGTATTAATATTTAGTTTTTTTCAGCAAGTTGATGGATTAGACTAAGTACCAGACCACTCCATACCTGCCATTGATGTGTCTACCAACATTTAGCTACATAAAGTATTTTCAGTGATTTGGTTCTTCTGCAAGGTATAACATTCAAGCACAGAGATAACAAGTCACAGGCCCATGAACAAAGAAGTGATGAAACTCAATCCAACACAAACATTGATGTAATTATAATAATAGAGTGCGCGATATCCAATGAACAGAGACGTGTGTTCTAATACTTTGATGAAATCACAGGAATTTGTATTCATATTTAAGATAAAGTAGCATTAATATTACAAAGTTAAATATTTCTGACCAGTGTCTTTTATTTCTGAAATAACTTGCTCTCATTTAGCCATTTGTAGGAATTCTGTGTACATTGCCCTTAGAGAGTCACTTGCAGCAAGATAATCTAAGTCAATTTGAAGTAAACCATGAGCACAAGCAGATAAAAATGCAATATAAACAGCAAACATAACATCTGAACATGCATATGATCTGACTGAAACAATTAGCCAGCAATAAAAGGTGATTAGCTGGTGGCAGATCATACTTCCACAGAAACATTATTGCTTATAGAATGATACATAATTAATGAATCGACTAGGTAGTACTGATCCCTAGGTTACAATAAATGGGTGACATATTTCGCTATAAAAAGAGAACAAATCAAAAATTACCAAACTGCTATCAATCAAACAAAACTCCCATTGCCTTTGGTTTGTCAGGTTATTATAACATTTGCACAAGAGGGAAACAAAATATCTTCTCCTGTCTATCACAGCACAATGAAAAAGCGCTTTTAAAAACACAAAATGAAAAGGAATGTTAAGTGAGATCCTGATGTTTTCCCTTACTCCGTACTTTGGAATTGTGTATTAAGTTAGAGTACTAGGATACGGCCTAGGATAGTATTACATTATCACCTACAGCAAAAAATCTCAAGTCAACTATAGAAGCTTTTTGTAATTCAGAATTTATAGATGCATTGAAAAGGTGACATATCTGATCAAATGTAATAATTCAATCTTCGTATGTTTCACAAACTGAACTTCATTGCGGGATATTTTGAACAAATGCAAGAGATAGGTAACAGTTCTTTTTCAAACGGCAGGCAAAAGGTGCTAACCCAACATATGTGAATTTAATTTTGAAGATAATCCCTAATCTTCCAGATTTTGTTTTAACAATAAAAATTGACCCTTAAAACAACAAGGGTCAACTTCTGTGAAATAACTGACTTTCTAAAAGTCTGAGCAAACCTATAATTTAAAAAAAGGTAAAAAATAAAACTTCAACCTGTACCATGACTCCTTATAGTATTCAGTGAACTGAATGGAAAGGAGCATCTCTTGGAATGCACTCAAAAGTTCCATTATCTGAGTTGCAGAAATTTTTAAAAAAAGACCTAATCTAAAAATCTATACAATATACACAAGTCTGAATAATTTGTTAACATCTATACAGCAAATAAACACATCTATATGTAAATCTAAATTGTACAGAAAAAAAGTAAACAAATAAAGTAACAGAAGTTGTAAAAGCCACAATTTATGACAGCTACCTGAAAAAAGTATCCATTTTCTGGCTGTGATACTGCTGCATTTTCCATGGTCCCAGCTTCACATGAACCACACAATTCATGCAAAGGCCTTCATCTGATTTTGTTACAATATTATTTCAAGGTATTGCAGGCCGTTTGTTCTGAGTTCAATGTTTAGCCTGTAGGCAGAGCGAATTGACCTTATTTCTTCTGTTTTCTTCATATGAATGTTGTACTTCCATAGCCATGGTAGAATGTGTTTCTGTGTATGTGCACTGTTGGTCTCAAGTTCAAATTTAAAAGGACAAATGAAAAAAGTGTGCATTAAAGTGAAATGGGAGAATAACATTGCGCAAAGAAGCTACTTCTGTTTGTTCTGCAGGTACTGTGTAGAGAATTTGATTTTTCTAATAAATCCAACTAGTAATTTTAATCCTTTACCAAAAGCCTCTGGAAAAATGTGGCACGAATGACAGCCATTATTACCAAACTGATTATTTTAGTAATTGTAGAACCATTATTTTAGTGAGCACTGTAAAGTTGCTGTGTGCAAAAGGAAATCGGCATCAAGGATCATGATGACTATTAGAAGCATTTTAAAACAGGGTGGTGAGAACCGAATAAGAGAACAGTAAGATAAGCATCCTAAGTGAACTACTGAGAGAAGGAAAGTTTGGAATGCAAACTGAGAATTATATAGAAAAAAGTTAATTTGAGCAAAAAAGTATGGACAAACTTGGCATGAAAAATTGGATGACAACATTAAGAATCTCTGAGACTGACAATCTTCACTAGGAGTACCAAGCAAGGCACCATTGGAAGGACAACACACTTGAACCAAGTCTCTGATAACAAAATCTGCTGCTAGTCTGGTCGAAATATTGGCGTCTTCGGTAAAAACTCTATTAAGATGACCTGAGAGGGAAGCAATTAAAAACAAAATGGTTATTAAAAAGAAAAGTACAAACCTCCTAACAATTATTTCCAAACAATATGTCAATAAGAGTAATGTGCAGGAATGACAGCCAACAGATATGCCATAAATTTTGAGGAACATACAAACTGACTGTGGAAGTTTCTATAGGTACGTGAAGAGAAAAAGACTAATGAAAAATGTAGGTCCCCTCTTGTCAGAAACAGGGGAATATGTAATGGGGAACAAAGAAATAGCTGACCAACTAAATACACACTTCGGTTCTGTGTTCATGAAGGAGGATACAAATAATATTCCAGAAATGCTGGGGAACACAGGGTACAGTGAGAGGGAGAAACTGAAGGAAATCAGTAGGGAACTAACAACTCCCCACTTATTGGGGAAATTGATGGGATTGAAGGCAATAAATCCCCACGGCCCGATAATTTACATCCTAAAGTAGTTACTAAAGTGGCCTTACAATTGACGCATGCGTTATTGATCATCTTCCATATTTCTATAGACTCTTATGTGGAGGTGCTGGTGTTGGACTAGAGTGGACAAAGTCAGAAATCGCACAACACCAGGATATAGTCCAAAAGATTTATTTGAAAACACAAGCTTTTAGCTCATAGCCACTTTGTCAGGTGAAGTGAGAAAGAAGCACACAGGACAGAATTTATAAGTAAAAGATTGAAGGGTCACACAACTGATGAGAATGTATTAAACAAACCCTAGATGCCATTAAATCTTTAATCAGTTAGAAGGGTTTAACTGATTAACATACGTAAAATCTCTGAATTTCTTTCAAGTCACTGCCCTGAGAAAACAAAAAGGGTTTTATCAGTGTAAAAAGGTGACATTTTAGGTCAGACAATGAATGTTAGGTGTGAGGCCTAGTTTAGAATCTGTTTGTGTTTTGTTTTGGAGTCAGACTGGTTTTATTTCCAAAGTAGGAATTTATCAAACGCCACATTGACTGACTGGCTATAAATTGTGTGCTTTTTGAACAAAATAGAATGTATCTTAGATTTATATATGTGTACACGCGC